TCTATTCCTGAATATTTTCAATAGGATAAATTGATAAACCAAAAAAACCCAAACAAGCCTCTCAACCAACTAGATACCCACATAGTTGAGAAATTAATAAAACCCAACTGTTAAGGGTTCAGTACCAACCTTGACTCTGGACTCACATTCCTGGAAATTTTACAGTACAGTGTAGGAAGCACACCAAGCACATCTCCTGACCTCCTTGCTATACAGATGAACTCAAACAGCTCCTCTTCACATAGTCCCCCCTTTCTCCCTATGCTTAGTACAAAAATTTTTGAACAATCCTCTTGTTACACTGAGTGGAAAAAAAAATAATAAAATATGTCTTTTCTTAGCTGATAATGAGTAACAGATTAATACACAGTATCTTGAGTTATCAGATGGAGATCCATTCTGGAATTTCCATTGGGTCTGTCTGAAGAAGCAAACCTGAGTTGCCTTGTCTTCACTGCTATTTCAACCTCCACTAGTAAGCCTGGGGCAACCCACCCACATTTAGAGACAACCTTTATTTGCAATATAAACAATACTCATGTCACGATGGATAAAGGGCAGACCTGTGGGATTTCATATCGAAAAGGCAACTGATTTTGCCAGCCACTGGTTCCTAATAACCACCTGGTTTCTATTAGTGTCCTAAATGAGGAGGTGGGATATGTCGGGGCAGGGCGGGGTATCTAACGACTGACCAGAAAAAAGGAGCTGAAGGGAAGGTGGAGCCTGGTTACATGTGATCCAGCTCAGCAGGGAAGCCCCTGTGTGCTGAAGAGAGAGACTCCATTTTCATCCAAATGAAGAGAAACCAGAAGTAACGGTCCCTTTTAGGAGGGATAACAGGTCTCCTAGAGAGAGGTGTTAAGCAACAGACTGGGAGGAAGAGGATGTCAGATCGTGGAGGGTGTCAATGCAATGACTTGCTTCTAAAACACAGAGTGATCTTGCGCTTAATTTAAATACAAGTGATGAGTTGTAAGCGTGGTGAAAATAGCAAATAAATTCTAGGAAATTGCATATAAAGAAGAATTATTGTTATTAAATCATTTAATATGAATGTGTTTCAAGTCTAGTTCACAGCTGAAACTATTTTACAGCTATAGCTGTGGAGTTTTAACGAAGTGGCAGAATCACAAGGTATCTGCCAGAGATTTATTTTAAAAATTGTTACATGAGTAGTTACATGAATGAACCTCAATAGACACAATGTGGTGTTGTGATTTGAACTCTTTAGTGATTTCCACTGTAGTTATGTATGCAGGAACCAACAACACGTGTGCATTTGTGTGCACACGTGCATACACATGAGACCCAGAAACTGCGCACACACATGCAGGCTTATCCCCCAGCTCCACACACAGGATTTCTAAAGAGTGCTCCTACAGGACAACTATACAATTTCTTAACGTTAGCATCATGGTATTTCTTTTCACTTCTCCCCAGAGATCTCCTGTTTCTTCTGATCTACCTCCTGTCTGTATTAGAAGGGAAAGACTATACTGCCCAGCACACTCCTAGTACTTGATCTCACTCCAGGCTTTGGGTGCTAATCCCACCACCTCTGTACTGCCTGCCTCTCCTCTCGGTGCACGTGTGAGTGCATGTGTATATACAGATGTGCACAGCTGTTAGTGACAACCCTACACTGGCTGCTTTCCCTGACCTACGCTATATAAGAAGGACCCAGGCCCATAGCTGGCTCTACAGCCCAGCTGCCAACACCAGCTCCCACCGTTTTCTCCAGAAACCACATATTGCAAGTCTACTCTAAACACATCTCTGCATCAACTGTTGGTCTAGCAGCCCAAAGACCTGAGTTCCCAGGTGCTCTCATTCTCCTCACTATGGGAGGACACTCTGGAATTTGGCTACTGAAGCACTGGGAGACAGAAAAAACGGGGAGGAGGGGGGAGAAAAATAAAAATCTGGGTTTTTTTTATTTTGCCTAAGTCCAACAGATTGCTGGAACATTTCAAAAAGTTCATCCCAAGCATGAACAATGAGCACTTCTGAAAATACTGGTTCTAAACTACTGAAGATTAACTTTCTCAGGGAGCCTCAATGGTTTTAGAAATGCCTGTTATAGATACGGCTATTTGCTCCTCAGCTCTGGAGCATGTGCAAACACTCACTTGATGGCCTCAACAATTCTTCCTGACTGCAGGGATAAGTTACACAGCAGAATGCTCTTGTTGGTCCATGGGAAGGACTGCATGCCTTTATGAACACAAAAATGAACCCTTTCTGTTTCTTGAAAAATCTCTAATTGATCACTGATGTTTCAATGGAATAATGGCCACAGATCCTAGCAGCAATTATAGAAATGTGTTTTGTTTTATTTATTTAATGCATAAGTACAAGGTTTCTAATGGACAGAAAGTGATGATGCACTGACAGGACAATGGGGAAAATGAAAGAAAGGATGCTAAAAGCTTTGAGCACTGCTCTCCTCTCTGCTGTCTTACTCTCTGTCTCTCTCATACATTTGCCCTCTCTGCCCGTGTTTTCACTGTGGAAGCCATGTGGCTTCCAACTCTCTTCTAAGTAGCCACTGAGAATTGTCTGTAGTGGAATATTGCCAAAGCCCTTCCTGGTCTAATGACACGGGGAAGAGTGCTGTGCAGTGCTCACCCAGCACAGAGACTCACTGCGTCCTTGATTATGATCCTGGAGCCAGAAAGTGATGCTGGGAATTGAACCATCAGTGCCTCAAATACAGAAGTCGACATGTGCCAACCCCTGCTGCATTCAGCCTCTGTGTGCGGCATATTAATCAGTCTTGAACTTGAGGTCCAACCTTCAAGCTTGGAATTACCCAAAGAAAAGGAAAGGTCCTCTTTGTCCTGCTTCCCTCTAACCTTCCACAGGCATACTAGTTTCTTCATTTAGTATGTTCAGTCTTTCAGCAGTAACTTCTTTTTTTAGGCCATCACAGCATTTCTCTGCACACATAATCACAATTTCCCTTGATTTAAAGATTTGAAAATAGAGCTTGAAAAGATACTTAGAACAAACACATTAAGCTACAAGGGTATATGAGGGGAAAGATGACTCAGTACTAACCCTCATTCTCATACCCTGTCCATAAATACCTGTGAAATGTTGGAGTCAGGATATGGAACTTTCTTCTGTCTCATTTTATGTCCCAAGATAGATAGCAGGAACATGTGGTTATCAGTGTGGTATCAGCCTCAATCTGAATGGGACAGCTGTGTTCCCACACCAGCACAAAAGAATACCTCTGGGGGTCCTGCCAGAAAGGGAACCCCATACTTGTTGACGATGCACTACAAACCCCAGCTGCACAACCCAAGTTGGAATTTCTCAATCTTATTTTGCTTGATTTTACTGGTTTAGAGGAAAGCCATGGGCATCTGCTAGTCAGCTGGAACACTGGGTTCAGGGAAGTTTTAGAGCATTTCTTTTGGGCCTTGCAAACACCTGGTGCATAGTGAAGGCTGGTCTCTTATTTTCTGAGAAACAATTTTTCTCTGTATGCACACTTGGCAGCAGAGGCATGATACAGATGAAAGAGCCCCTGCAGAAGGATGCTCTCTTTCTTTGGAAAGGGTTGCACCTCTGCAGGAAAATTTGACAGCCTATGAAAGCTGTGTCCTTTGGCAAATCTGTCCAAAAGTCAGAGAAGGGACAGCTTGTAAAGGGTGAACAGAGACAATGTAAAATGTAACTCTCCGGGATAGCATGTCTCTCTGGTGGTAAGAGGGAAGGACAACACATCACTGACCCCAAAATTACAGTCTACAGCCTTCCTAAGCAAAGATAAAAGACTTAACAAGTCTGTAAGAAAATCACATATTGAATTTTATTTCTGTCAAAAAATAAAATAAGTTATACTGTTCATGAAATCTTCTCACTTTTGAAACATTTTAGAAATTTAACTAATCAAAGCCCACAACAATCTCTGATGAAAGCCTATTGACAGCTCAGGAAGCTATGGAAGAAAGGTCACAGGATTTACCTAGTCACAATGGCTATACTGGATGCGCATTGTTGGAGGAATCGAGTCTACGGCTTCAAAGCTCAATTTGTTCAATGTCCCAGGTCTCCAAATTCACATCTGCCTTTCCATAAGTGAAAAGCAGTGTCCTTCAAACACATACACTTGACCTGTTTGATTCCTCAACTCACTCACAAACATTCACGATGCTAGAGCAGACAACACACATGGTGGCAGTTGGTCACAGTGACACCAGCTCAGGCATGCTATTGATCAGTGCATCTGTGGCAAAGAGTAATACTTTTTCAAATACCCCACCTCTTTCTCCAGTATATCACATAACTCACCACAAATCCTCACCAAAGTACCGTATGTCGAAGTAGCAAAACCAGATGTGAGTACAGACTCAAACAGCATTTTCACTGTACAAGACAAAGGTACTAGAAGCCTATGTGAACTATTCTGCTTCTTCCTCAGCTTTCACTTGACAGAAATCAACAAAAAAAGCCTTGTACTGTTTTTGATGGGAACAAACATCAAATCACTTCACTGTGCATTGCTCTAATTATTTCAGCAATCCTGAAATAAAGCAGTATATAAGGATTATTATCCTAAACCAATACATGGTGCAGCATCAGTGGACACATATTCCCTGAAGAGCTAAACACTGTGGTGGTTGGTAAAGTTCTCAAAATCATAATGACAAGTGCTACGGTGATACCAAAACCAAGAATCTGCTCAGGGTCCAAAACATCAAGCATAAATGTGTTCTTTGTTAAGTATTTCAGAACACAGAGTAAGATTTGCTTTTAAGAAAGGCAAAACCTGTTTGAGTTTAGCCGTGACTCAGAACATCACAGAAGTCTCATAAGCCTAGAATGAAAGTTACTGATTGGACTTTATTGGTCATGCCTCTGTTTCAGCTTATCTTGGTTGGGTACCAAACCAGGACCATTTCTTTTCCAGAGTCTTGCACTTTCAAACAAAAACATGCAGTAACCAGCTTTACCATATTTAATAAAACAATAAACTTTGCGCTGACCTTTGGCAAGCGTTCGGGGTCACCAGGGTGCCGGGGGATAACCTTCTGTAACCTTTGGAAACCATAGTCAATGGTGGGTTCGTTCAGAGCTGAAACAACAACAAACAACATCATGATATGACAAATGCACAGGAAGCCGGGTCTGTTGCACTGTAAAAATTGGCAATGTGTTGCAAGGCCAAGGAAGGATCACAGCAAAATCCCTTTATTGAAATCAGCACTGACTATGAAGTCTGGGTTCAAATGTTATTTGAGGCTGGTTCTGAGGCTTTAGTTCAAATGGCAATGCACACCTTCCCCTCTTGAGTTCCTAAAACAAGGTTGCTGTAAAATTTGAGGATGTTGAACACATCTTCCAAATAGGAAGAAATTATTATCTCTGAAAGTTGCAATGAAATTAATCCGATAAAAACTTTACGCCCTATGTTTCATGTTGTTTTCTTCTGCTTTCATATTATGAGGAAAGTCCTTTGTGATTAGAAGACAAAAAAAATTACTATTAGGGAGTATCTCTTGTTATGGATTCTATTACACATTTAATATGCTCCATGTGCAATGTTCACATATAATTTTGTTGTGAGCTAAAGGCATTTGTCTTGGCAGACGTTTGGGTTTTTTACTCATCAACACTGACTTCAGCAGCCCAGCTCAGGCTCTGACCAGCATTAAACTGATCCAAAAGATTTAATGAATTTTTTTTTAAAAAAATATGGTTTTAGTTCATCTTTCTTGAGTCGTTGTCCAATAAAATGGAGGAGAGAAATGGTGGAAGTGGAACACTAATCTTCACGAACATGCTCGTCTGCCTGCATTAATCGAAGCTCTCTTTGTGCCAAGCCTTTAAGCACGTGCTTATCTGTAAGCACATACTTAAACCCATTTGCTTTCAGGAAAGCAAATTTGAGCATATTATGTTTTTTATATGATTGCCTCTAATTATAGAGGATTGAATTGAATGACCTTCTAGCTATATTTCCAGTCATATGATCATTTTAAAACTCAGATGCTAGTGAGTCTTCAACATGTGCTTAAAATTTCCTATGTGCTTTGGTGGAGTGGAATAACAGTCAAGCATTCTCAAGCATCTCTAAACAACAACGCATCTTGACTCTTCCATGCCAACAGAGATGATGAAATTTTCCACAGCAATTTGTTAGTAATTTTTTTGAGTTAAATGAAATGACTTTTTTTTTTTCCTGATATGGATTTTTATAATTTCAGTCTTTTTTTTTTTTTGTGGGAAGGAATATCTTTTGGGGATCGCTTTATAAAATTTTTCTTATTTTGTCTTAGCTTATTAAGAGGAAAAAAAAATTACTTCTTGGACAAGGTATGCCTACTAAATCAGGAGTATATCTTGCACCTGTATAATGGTTTTATTATGAACTTTGTTATGTGGCTAGAATGATGCCATCTGATTCCTGCAAAAAGATTTAGCATCAAACTGTATCTTCCAGTCTCACTTGTGCAAGCACTCTCATGTGGCTCAGAGATGCTTATCCTACAGCAAGTTACACAACTCCATCAGCCCGATCAACACGACACATTCCCTTTATCAGGAATACCTGAATTTGATCTTTAACTTATATTTAGGTCATTGTATAGAACAGACGAGAATAAGGCTTTTCCTCTGATTGCTTTGGGTTTTGAACGGTTGAGTCTTTTTTCCACACATTTCCATTCACACCCTGACCACATACTGTCCACTATGTTATGTACTTTTGCAGAAAGTAACATAGTACCTGGTTGTATACCCCTGGCTTCATTACCTTTGAGTTTCCTTACATAGCTTCTTATTGTGGACCCATTTAATTTACAACTTGTTCAAATTTTACAATAAATTAATTTACTGCTATTTATATTTATTATCAAAAATAGCTGTTCATTGAGAAGATTAAAAACTCCCTACAGTTCTAATTTACATTTCTTTTGCAAATATGTTAGATTTTAGCGTGGTTCTGTCAAATGTGTTTCTTCTCTAATTCAGTCTAGTTTACGGCCATTTTCCCTTTACATCCTCTGGGAAAGTAGTTACTAAATTCTGCAATATTATAAATGGAGGCCAGTTCTGAAATCCCCCCAGAGATAGCAGTCATTTTCTCATATCTTCCCACACATTCAACACATTTGAAATCCACAGAGTATTTCCTGTGAGTATTTTCTCAACTAAATGACCAAAAAAAATGTTAATTTTACGGTCCAATCTCAGAAGGCATCAAGCATCCTCTGAGAGATACTGAAAACTTTCTGCTTCAAATAGCTTCAGCTTTACTTTAGTGGTGAGGAGAGGCTGCACACAGCAATTTGCAGGATTGGGTCCTAAACTGTAATTGTTGAATATCACTCATTAGTCTATAACCGTTCAACATTTTCAATCTTAGATAAAGTGAAATAAAGAAATCTTTTGCTGCCTGAACATCTAACTGCAGATCGGACGATATCAGCCCTCCTTTCCTCAGTTCATTTATAATCCAAGCCAAATGTAATTAGCCATATCTCAAACAAGGAGTCCTGTTTAAATATTTAACCCCACCTTCAGCATCAAGGCCACACCAGTTCCTGTGTCAGGAGCTGCCAGAACTCCAAAGAAGAGGTGATACTCCGATTTCCAAGAACTGCAGGAGAGCCAGTGCTCAGGCCACCGTTAGTGGCAGCAGATGTACAAGGTCAGGTACCGGCTTCATGCAAGGTTTTCCTCTGTCCCCAGTATGTACGAGCCTGATCTCTGTGTAAGTCCGTTCACAGTAACGCATTTCCCAGTGGTCTAATTCAAAGAACACTTTTTTCCACAATTGGGAAAAAAAGAATCAATAAGAAATACAAACTATTTGTGTTCTTGACATCCATACATTAAAAACAAGCTAACACATACTATACTTAAAATGCATTCCCATTACCCTAAATTTTAAAAGTACTATTGAAAGTACTACTAACTTTAAAAAACTGCACTAAATTCAAATAGGTCCCAAGGCTAATGGAAGCAATTTGTATACCAACCCAAACTGACTGGCCCACTTTTCAAAATACAGGTATGATAATCTTGTGGTTTTAAAAGGACATTTAAATTGAAAGACTGTGAATTTAGTACATAATTATACCAATAGAACCCTTTAACTTGTCAACTTGTAAATCTAAAAGGCTATCAATCATTTCTAAAGAGGAAATAAACCTTAAAATTCTTTGATTGACAGTGCTTACTTTTTACGTGAAAAAAAAAGGAGTAAAGTGGCCAGAAATCCATTTACAAAAGTACATTGTTTTACATAGGTGAGTAAAAAGCCAATAATTACATCTCCAAAAGACATATAAATCAAAGTAAGTACTTTTCCCTCACTTACATATTTTAAGTTGAGGTAAACTTCAGGTAACTTTTTATTAAAATACTTTTCCAAATGCAAAGCTTATTGAAGCCATTAATAGAGTAGCATTTTCATTTAAGCTAATATAATCATTTTTGCAAATACAAGATTTAAGCCATTTTTCTCCTTCCAAACAATAAACTTTCAGCCTGTCTCTTGTGTGAATTAACTAAAATTACACCCAGGTGTACAAAATCTGTCTATCCATCCTAGTGTATGAGTTAAGGCACAATATTTATTATTCTTACCATTTTATGAATTACTTCTTAAACCCTTGAGGAAGAACCTTCTTTCAAATTAGACTCTAACAGAATAAGCCATGAAGCTCTTTATGCTGCAAATCTAAAGCCGTAACTCATAAAATCTAAGGCTTTTAATCAAGAAAATGCACAATGTCTATGGAAATAAGGATGTGTACATTATATTCATCTTTTCAAAGTCCAACTTATTTTTCAACAGAAATGCTGCTTATGCCTCTGAGAAAAATGTTTCCACCATAACTATAATTTCAAATTCTGCACAAATAATTTTAATAACTACATGTAGACAAGCCACCATCTTTAAAGTTTTTCTCTTTCTTTTTTTTTTTTTTTAACTAGTCAGCGGAGGGCTTTTTTTAATATTTCACATAATGAATTCCTACTGTGTCAATAAAGCTTTGGTCTTTAACTGAATGACTGTCTGATGAATCTGAGAGAGGAATTTGTTTCTCTGGCCATTCTGCCAACTTACAGCAGAATGATCGACACTTAATATCAGCAATTAAAAGGACCTGTTCAAATATCATATGGAATTCGTAGCTTGGGGTAGTGCAGGAGAACCCTTCACCAAGGAAAACTCATTCAGTGAATGCAGAGAGTAATTGAATTAGACACATTTTAACATTATTATTCAAAGAAAAATAAACACACACTACATAGAAGCATTATGGAAATATTTCAGAATGTAAAACATATCCAGTTAATTTTTTTCCCATGCATTCATGGTTTCATTTATTCCTTTTATTTTTCAGCCCTTGTTTCTTTTTCATTCTGTTTGACTCAAAAGCAATGAGAAAGCAGCACTGAAACCTATGAACTTCCCATACGCTTTCTCAGTGGAAAAGGCTACAAGGAGAAGGGACTCCAAGGATTCGAGTAACAAAAATAAAAAAAAGGCTAAAGGCTACAAAAAAATTGGCCTCAGGAACACAGGTCTGACCATCCCTATCCCAGATGAGGAATCTGGTCTTGATTATTTCCACTCAAGCACCCACGGAAAGGCTGCACATGGGAATTAACTGTCATACAGTGCCTGCTCCTGTGGTGCACCAGAGAGTTGCTGGTTTTCTTGGAAGGCAGCGGTATCACGGAGGAGTTTTTGAAGAAGGTGAGAATGACCTGTAGAAGCACAGAGCTATAATAGCTTCAGATTATGCCCAAGAGGTCATGCCTACAACAGCACAACGAAGTTTCTTTAGATTCTCACTTTGTTTCTTCACAAACTGATTTTTTTTTTTTAATTTGGCTCTACAACAAAAGCAGACACCTAGTGATCAGTCTTGAACTGTAATGGCAAAGAGATGGGGCTTTGGAGTCCACAGTGCAGCTGTTTTGAGCTTTTTCCTGTTTTACGAGAGAAATTTTGTCTAAACTTAAATAGAAGCTGACTCTGTGACCAAGACACACAAAGTTACCCATCTCCATTCCTCATAGCCACAAAAGAGTATGAAGAAATACATGTAAAAATGT